TAGTCACGCCCTATTGCCCAGAGGAGACAATACGCTCTTTGATTCTAGTAGCGTGGACTATGAAACGAAAATGAAGCATATGTTATGGAACACCGCACAAATTTACCCTGAACTAGTGGTTCAGCGCTATTTTCACTTCACCCAAAGCCTTAAAAGACCAGCTGGAACGGGAGACGAAGACGATTTCGGCGTTTTCGACGCTCGCAATTGTTTTTTTTTGGGTGGTGAAGGAATTAGCACGATCACAGTTTAAACGATCCCTACTTTGGCAATCGAACTAAGCGATTGTAAGTCATTAACCACGAAAATGGCCACTGCAGAACCTCTAGAGGACCAGGCAATTGACAAATTTATTAAACCAGTAAGCGCGCTGCAAAAAGTCTAGAGATGACAAAACTTGACCTCGTATTGAACGCGTTCCACGAATGTCATCATTGGTCTGACTGTTCGTGTTATGCTGGTGCGAATAACGCTCTCAACAATGCGAAAGTGGACCGTAACATGCGAAGTGACAAGGTGACCATGAATCTTCTCGCATCGCATAGTCATCAACAGAAGCCTGATTCGAGGTGCGTCCATGCATTTTGATCTAGTTCCCGTTAGCTGTTAGTTTCCGAGCATGGTTTGGATGCTGCGCAGCTTCACCATCTTCATCCGACTGGTAATAGCCTACTATTTCGGCGCCGCCCACTCGGAGAAAGAGAGCTCTCTTGGGCGTCACTATCCCCACCGCATTCACCTCACCGTCCCACTTATTCACCACAATCAGTCTTCTCTTTTATGCTATCAACGAAATGACGCTTCTTGTCCTAATATTGGCTGTCGTTTGGCTTGAAGTGATTGCGACTGAAACTGGCTATACTGTTCCTCAACCTCAACATCCGTTTGGTATTGCAACGCCATCGTCTGGCGCTATTATATTCCCTATTGGAATGACCTACGGGATCAAACCATCATCATTTCCACCAGAGAATTCATTGAGAATTCACAATACACTCAGAGAGCGTAGTCCACCTTTGGCGTAAGTCTTTTCCGTGTAGTCTATGGTGCTTCAGTAACTCATTAGAATGTGATTTCGCAAAGCGGTTGAAGCTAGTTAAGAAGGTTAGTAATAATGTGATTGTGTTTTTGTAACGGTTGAGACACAATAGGCACATTTGGCCATGCCTTCTTGAACGTTTCGGATTTTTGACAGGGATATTAGGTCTTTCTCGCAAGAAGGCTCTGATTCACAAGGTCTCAGGCTTCCATCTTTTGTATCAGTGGCATGCTGGTTTCGTGTTCCGTTGTTTCCCTTGTACTCTGCGAGGTCGTTAATCGAGTTGTTCACATTGTAGCTCTTAAATTGACTAATGCTCGCGTGTGGCAGCTCTTTTTTCCATTTAAAGAACTAAGGCACGATAATTTGGTATTCGGGGTCGCGGGAATCTACGTATGAAAATGGCGGAAAGGCGTGTGAAAAAACCAAGAACCTGCAAAAAAGCCTTTTTTCCACATGATTTAGAAGCTATTGTGGAGCGATTCCCTTGGCCATCGGCCAAAAAACGCTGCGTGGACAAGCTGCATGCGTAATGTTTTCATATATCACACAGACCAGACGCTCAATATATAGTCAGGGGGGGGGGGTCCCCAACATAAAAAAAACACTTTGCCGAGTCACATTATCATAAAATTTCCTGCATCTCATAAACAGAAATAGCGGCCAGATAAGTATTCACTTAGGGCGTGGGCGGAAGACCACCACCAAGGATCCTCGATAAACATAGACATTCTTCCTTGATCATCTTCACGTACACCGTACACATATGAACCACCCTGCAATCGCAGCCCCGACTGGCAGCAAGTGCCATGACATTCCTCCACCAGTCATCTCCAAACAGCGCGAAAAAGTCTGACCATGGGCGTCACCCCATGATAGCTCACCTGGAGACCAGACTCTCGACTCCGGAAGACCCCCAACATCCGAGGCACTCGAACAACGTCGCACGGCTAACGACATCATCTCGCACCTACAGTCCCAAACCCGCGCGGCCTGAGGTAAACTGCGGAACGTACCTAAATGGAAAGACCAATATTTCTGTGTGCCATGGATTTTAAGGTGAGCGCTGGCGGTTACATCGAGCAACACGAGAAGAAGAATATCCTGCCTTCATGTCATGGCCCGTACCATCTTGGAAACTTCGTACTGCTCCAGGATTGAGTGCCACCACATGGAATAGAAGGGCGTCGGAAAAACTTTTGCCATACTTGGAATGGAAGGTCTGATACCTGAGAAGATGGGAATAAATAGTGGTCACTTGACCTAAAGCCGCCTTGATTCGATCGAACGGAGCCCAACAGCGTTGTCTATATTAGCGGAGAAATCAACGACCCGCAACTCAGACATGCTAAATCATAGGCGCGTGGCAGAGCTCTCGAATGGCGCTCGGTCCAGAACGCTGGTCGGTGTAATGCAATGACATCGTACAATGTGCTGCTGGATATGGATGAAGTGACTATCGGGGGCCTTGAAAGTCAAGGAGAAAAGTTCTTTTTTTCAGTGCGCCCCCCCCCTCTATATAACACATCAATCACCCCCTCCCCCTCCTGATTCAGATTTTTACTTCGGCAAACGAAGAAATACGAGCGTATCGTCGACACACTGTAGCGAGCGAGGCGGGATGGGTCCATCGGTGTATTGCAGCTTGATAGAGCGCTATAAGGGTACCTTCGCTGGAAAAGGCGCCACGCGGTGCCTGCTCACGGCGCCGAATTCTGCTCTGCTGGGCGTATTAGTCCTACACTTCTTGGATTTATCATGCCACTTGCCTTTAAATGGTAACTTCAGCACACGGCGATCAAGGCGAAAAATTAGGTTATATTGAACGAGTGTCTGTCACGACAACCTCGTTCAGCACAGTGTAGAAAAAATACTTCAAAATTCTGGATAACTCGACAGTAGCAGCAAATATGGTGGAACAAATCAAAAAGTGTTCACGGAAATTAAATTAGAAGTCTCAAGATGCCTTCTCATCCTCTTTTTTAAGGCCTCCAACTCTTGAGAATCAACTGAAACGTCACCCAGGAGTGCATTTAACAGCCCTGCCTCATCAAGATGGCTATTACTCGAGGCTCCAAGGAGTGACTTTGCATCCTCGAGAAAAGCCTGTGCAAGAGGAAGACACACTCCGTAAAGCTCCTGAATGGGTAGAACACATTCCAACACAATCCAAGCACAAGTTTACCATTCGGAATTTGGGACAATCGGAGCAGGTATGACGATTAGGACTTTCCCTGTAAGAGAATGTAATTTTGAGTGTAGTTTAGGTGCTGCGACAGTTCTACGGAGGCGCCAATGGTGGCAAGCCATACGTAACGCCGAATGCTAACAGTCAGTGAGATTTACCTTAGTGCATTTTCAGAGGCTTGGTCTCATTGCTCACTGAAATCTCTCTTCCTTTGTCAATTTATACATTTGTTAATCACCATATATCGTGGATATTGTACAACCAGTCGTGGAAGGCGTCGGGAGAGGTGGAGTGGGCCCGTCCCTGGCGGCATGTTCTACCAATAGATATTGGTCAGTGGTCGATGTAGGGAGAAATCAACCAGTGATAGAAAATGCATTTCAATTCTTCTCGTCACCTCCCCGACTGCATGCGCCTTTATAATCTGCGATTCGTCTTACCTACAGAACGTTTCCGCAAAGCCATTAAAACCTAGGCTAAGTTATAGCTTCCTAGATGCGCAAGTATACTGGGTTTACGTGCTAGCTGGTTTCCTATCTACTGTTAATGGGCCTAAGTGCTCGGTAGTGTCGTAATGCTGAAGTAGGCCGTTCAATCGTCTTTGAAACTTAGGAATGATTCTTCAAAAAATTTTATCACACTTTCAGAATTCGGCGCTCTTTCCTTCGGACAGTTTGGGAAAATGTTACTGGCTCGCTAGTGTCTTAAAGGCACAGTTCGCGACCGCAAATTGCGGGAAACGGAACTCAAATAGGCACAAAAAAGTGCTAAGTATCTGATTAGCGGAGAAAAGCAGCAGAAAAGCAGTCCGAAATGTTATAGAGAAAGATAACATAGTGGTACTAGGTATTTGTAGCTAGCAGGGCCGGTGAGGTCGGCATGGGCCCTATAGGGTTGTTTTGTGCTATGGCCTGCTTAGGAAGCTTCTAGCGGAGTTCTTGCCGTTTTCACATTTTGAAAGTAGCGCAGCATCAAAAATCGCCTTTCGAATCATCCGACACATTTGAGAGGCTATAGCCTTATTTTATCGCGGAATGTGCCTTTCAACTTTGCTTACCTTGTCGAGATCTGTGAACTCTTGTGAAATTGCGATTGCGATGTGAAAGAATTGGCCGAGTTATTTTGACTGGACCTGCAAATTCTTGTAAGCTTACGAAATGGTATGATCTTCATCAGGTATGGCTGCACTAAAAAGAGTTTAGGTCTTCACAAGGTAATCTTGCTTCGCTGATACAATTCCCTAGCTTCACAAGGGTTTATAGTTCTCTGCGTCAAAAGGGACTCGTATGATGCCCTGCCTTCTAAGCGAACTGTGGCACATCATCGTTGGGGATTTCCAAACGGGGGATCGTATTTGGTCTGCAAAAATTTTCTTGATATTCGAGTTTTCTTGTTTCACGGAC